GACCACCGCCTCTAAACCCCCCCAGAGCTCAGCCAAGACCCCTTATGCTGGTGGGGACCCCTGTTTGCAGCCCCCCAATGCGGCACCTGTGTCCTGGGGGTGTCCCATGGGAGCCAGGGCTCTCTGAGGTGTCCCAGGGGTGTCCTTGGGGTGTCCCTAGTGGTGTCCCAGGGTTCTCCAGGGTGTCTCAGGGGTGTCCCTTGGGATGTCCCTGGGGGTATTCCAAGTGTGCCAGGGCTCTCTGGGGATTCCTAAGGGTGTCCCTGGGGATGTCCCTGGGGGTGTCCCTAGGGGTGTCCCACGGGTGCCAGGGCTCTCTGGGTTGTCCTGGGAATGTCCCTGGGAGGCGTCCCCACAAGTGCCACCTCTCTCCATGAGTGTCCCCCTCACCCTCACCCCCCACACCCTCACCCAGGTGTGCGGAGCTGCTGCTGGCGCACGGCGCGCGGGTGAACCTGGGCACGCGCGACCGGCAGGTGACGGCCCTGCACGTGGCGGCGCGCCAGGGGCTGGTGGCCCACGTGGAGCTGTACCTGCACCACGGCGCTGACCCCTCCCACCGCACCCACCAGGGTGAGACCCCCCTGAACGCCGCGGCGGCCGCAGCCGAGCACCCCAAGGACGCCGAGCGGTACCTGCGCGTGGCCGAGCAGCTGCTGGCGGCTGGTGCCGACCCGGGGGCCGCGGGGCGCAAGGGCCACACACCCCTGCACAATGCCTGTGCCAACGGGCACCCCGGGCTGGCCCGGCTGCTGCTGTGCCACGGCGCCGACGCCACCGTCCCCAACGGCGCCGGTGACACCCCCATGGACTGTGCCCTCCGCGCCGTCCACGAGTACCGGGACCAGCGCCCCGAGGAGACCCTTGTGCTCCTGCTTGACCACGGCGCCCTTCCCGGGCACCCCAAGGTGGGTGGTGGGGGGTCACAGGGTGGTGGTGGCCGTGTCACCCCCTCGGTGACACGGCTCTGCTGGCAGATGCTCAGGTTGTGCTGCCAGCACCCGCCGGCGCTGGAGGTGATGCTCAACGCCTACGACCGCGTGCCGCCCGCCGAGGGATGGGCGGAGGACGTGCCCCCCGAGCTGTGGGAGGTAAAGGGGTCCCCTGAGGTGCCCTGGGGTGTCCTTGGGTGTCCCTGCACCCTGGTCCCAGCTCGCTGACCCCCATGTCCCCCCCAACCCAGGAGCACCAGGAGTTCTACACCTCGGCCGTGCGCATGGCGGGGCAGCCACGGCGGCTGCAGCACCTGGCACGCTGGGCCATCCGGAGCCACCTGGGCTCCCGCTGCCACAGCGCTGTCCCCAAGCTGGCACTGCCACCCGCCCTGCGACGGTACCTCCAGCTGCACATCGAGGGGGTCATTTCTTGAGAGCAGCCCTTGCTTCCCCACTGGTGTTCCCTCCCCGTGTTCCCTCCCCGTCTCCCCACCACTGTCCCCTCCCTGTGACCCCCCCCATGTACTGGTGTTAATAAAAGGATGTAGCAGAGGTGGCTCTCGAGGCGTCTCTGTCCTTGTGGGGAGTAGATGGGCAATGGCTACTGTTCTGGGGGGTCAGGGGACTGGGGGGACAGGGCCAGGGGGTCACAGGTCTCAAGGAGGTGACAGATGGGCCCTGGAGGATGTGGGGGCTGCAAAGGGGGGTGACAGGCTCTGGGGATGTGACAGCCAGGGCTGGGAGTGTCCAGACCGGGGAGGCTCAGGCCCCAGAGGGAGTTCCTGGCCCGGAGGGGGCTCAGCCCTGAGGTGGGTTCAGCCCTCGGGGGCGGTTCAGCCCCGGGGTGGGTTCAGCCCCCGGAGGGTTCATTCAGCCTCCCGGGGCGGGGAGGGGGGCTCAGCTCCAGAGGGGTTCAGCCCCGGGGTGGGTTCAGGGCCTCGGGGAAGGTTCCGCCCCCGGCAGCCCCGCCCAGGGGGTGTCACACGTGGCTCCCGAGGCCCTGCCCCGCGGAGCCCCAGGCCCCGCCCCAAACCCCGCCCTCCGTGACCACGCCCCCACCGGTCGCGCCCACCAATCATGGGCGTGATGACCCACCCACTGACCCCGCCCCGCCCCGCAGGCCCCGCCCCTGCCCCGCCCCCTAGAGGGCTGCGTTCTGCTAACCCCGCCTCCTTCTCCGCAAACCCCGCCCAGTAGGCGTGGCCACACGGGCGGGGCTGTGACGCGACGCGCGCGCGCCCACCGCCCGCTCCCGCCCCCTGGCGGCGGCGCCGTCTGACGTGGCGCTTCCGGCGCGCGGGCGGCGGCGGCGGGAGGCGGTGAGTGGGGAGGGGGGGGACACCGGGACCCCCGGGACACACCGGGACCACCGGGGACACAGAGGGGATGGCAGGGACACACCGGGATCTCCAGACACAGCGGGATCCCCGGGGATACAGCGGGACCCCCGGGAATGGCAGGGACGCCCCAGAACACAGCGGGACAAACCAGGAGCCAGCGAGGACGGCAGGGACAGACCAGGACTATTGGAGACCCCCTGGGGATGGAAGGGACACACCGGGAGGGGCAGCGACACACCAGGACCCCCGCGGATGGTGGGGACGCAGCGGGACCCCCGGGAATGACGGGAACACACAGCAGGACCCCCGGGGATGGTGGGGCACACCGGGACCGTGAGGGACTAGCCGGGACGCACCGGGACGAGCAGGGACCCCCCGGAGCTGGCAGGGACACAGCGGGATCCACTGGGCCCCCCGGTTCCTTCCGCCGCCCCGGGCCCGGCCCGGCTCTGCCCGTGCCGCCCGCCCCCCCCGCCCCTCTCACCGCATCGCTCCGCTCCGCCCAGGTCGGGGATGGGCTGACACTGCCCGGGCTGGCACCGAGGGGCTGTGGGACCCCCTGGGACCCTCTGCCAGCCCCGGCGAGGGGAGCGCGGCCCCGGCACCGCTCGGGAGCGAGAAGGAACCGCCTGCGGTGAGGAACTCCCGTCCCTCGGGATCTCCGGGTAGCGGGAGCAGCACCGGGATCTGTTGGAAGGTGACCGCGGAGTGGTCCCTGCTGCCACCCCGGGGGTCCCCGCTGGCATCCACACCGGGCACGAGGGGCTTGCGGAAGGAATAAAGACCCCAGGCTGAGCAGGGGGATCCCGGAGATGGAGCCCCCCGCCGCCCCCCTCATCCCGGGGGTGGGGGACGAGGTGACGCTGGTGGCCGGGCTGGCGGTGCTGGCGCTGGCA